TCCTCTTCTCCTTCTGGTACCCCTATAATTCGACTGCTGGAATGTTTAAAGGTGTCCTGGAGGTTCCTAAGCCTCTCCTCATTTTTTTGAATTCTTTTCTGCTTGGATGTTTCTTTCTTCTGTCCCACGCCGTTGATTTGAGTCCCAGCTTTTTTCCCAGCACTATTAATCCCCTGTACATTTTTCTTTATTTCACTTAGCATAGCCTTCATTTTTTTCATCTAATTTGCAATCAAATTCAACCAATCTGTGAGCATCCTGATTACCAGTGTTTTGAACTGTGCATCTGATAGGTTGGCTATCTCTTCTTCTCTTAGTTGTATTTGTTCTGGAGTTTTGATCTGTTCTTTCGTTTCGGCCTTTTTTTTTTGGTCTTGATGTGCCTGTTATGTTGTGAGGGGCATAGCCTTAGATGTTCACCAGGATGGGGTAACCCCTGTTGCTGTGTTGTGACACTATATGTGGGGGAGGGGTCTGAGAAGGAACAATGGTGCTTGCTCCACTCTATGCCAGATTTCAGTCACTTCCCCCACTTCCCACAAGCAAATTGGGCCCTCCTGGTGCTGATTCCCATGTGGGTGGGTTTGTGTACATTCTAGGACCCTGTGGGTCTCCATGGAGCTTTTCTGTGAGGCTGGGAGTTCCTGCTGCTTCTTTGTTTTGCTTGGTTTATCTGAGCATGAATGTGGGACCACCTGGTCTGCCACTGCCTTGCCAACCAGCTGCAGCCTTGAATGCCCTGTTCCACAATCCACCCCCTTGCTGGGTCCACCAGCCACTGCCTTTCCACAAGTCCTCTCTGCCCCCTGCCCGACTCTGCCCCTCCTATCAGTCTGGATGAATGTGTCTTCTTTAACTCTTTGGTTGTCAGACTCCCATACAGTTTGATTTTTTGTCAGTTCTGGTTTTTTGTTTTTAAATTGTCATTGTCCTTCTTTTGGTTGTGTGAGGAGGCACAATGTGTCTACCTACGCCTCTATCTTGGTCGGAAGTCATGCCTATTTTTAATTTTTTAATTGTTGTTCAAGTACAGTTGTCTCCATTTTTCCAGCACCATTTCCCCCAACCCCAGCCACCTGCAGTTCTTCCCCCCTTTGGCTTTATCTATGGGCCCTTTATACATGTTTCTTGACAGCCCTTCCCCTTCTTTCCCCTGTTATTCCCCTCCTGCCTGCTCTTTGTTTACTGTCAGTTTGTTCTTTATTTCAACATCTCTGGTCATATTTTTCTTATTTTATTTTATTTTTTTAAATATTTTATTATTTATTTATCTTTAGAGGGGAAGTGGGGGAAGGAGAGAGGGAGAGAAACATCAATGTATGGTTGCCTTTTGTGCGTCCCCTGCTGGGAACTGGCCTGCAGGGAACCGGCCTGCAACCCAGGCATGTGCCCTGACTGGGAATCGAACCTCGATCGTGTGGTTCGCAGGCCCGCGCTCAATCCACTGAGCTACATCAGCCAGGGCTCTGGTCATATTTTTCATGCTTGTTTGTTCTTTTGATTTGGTTCCACTTACAGGTGAGGTCATATGGTATTTGTCTTCCACTGCCTGGCTTATTTCACTTAGCATAATGCTCTCCAGTTCCATCCATGCTGTCCTGAAGGGTAGAAGCTCCTTTCTTTCTGCTGTGTAGTATTCCATTGTGTAAGTGTACCAGTTTTTTGATCCACTGCTTTACCAATGGGCACTTATGTTGCTTCCAGCACTTGGCTACTGTAAATTGTGCTGCTGTGAGCATTGGGGCGCATAGGTTCTTTTGAATTGTTGGCCCGTACAATTTGACAGATGCACTAAGACAGAGAGTCAAAGCAGCTCTACCTAATACACAGAAACAAATACAGGGAGGCTGCCAAAATGAAGAGACAAAGAGATAGGACCCAAATGAAAGCACAGAACAAAACTCCACAAAAAGAATTAAATGAAATGGAAATAAGCAACCTCTCAGATGCAGAGTTCAAAACACTGGTCATCCGGATGCTTCAGGAACTTATTGGGTATTTCAACTCCATAATAAAGACCCAGTCATAATTGACGTTTGCATTAAGTGAAATAAAGAAAAATCTACAGGAAACCATCAGTGGAGAGGATGAAGCTGAGAATCAAATCAATGATTTGGAACACAAGGAAGGAAAAAGCATTCAATCAGAACAGCAGGAGGAAAAAAGAGTTTAAAAAAATGAAGATAGCCTTAGCAATCTCTGGTACATCTTTAAATGTACCAACATTGGAATCATACGGGTGCCAGAAGAAGAAGAGGAAGAGCAAGAAATTGGAAACTTATTTGAAAAAATAATGAAAGAAAAGTTCCCTAATTTGGTGAAGGAAATACACATTAAGTCCAGGAAGCACAGAGAGTCCCAAACAAGATGGACCCAAAGAGGACCACATCATAGTTAAAATGCTAAAGTTTAAAGATAAAGAGAGAATCTTAAAAGTAGCAAGAGAAAAACAGACAATTACCTATGAAGGAGTTCTTATAAGACTGTCAGCTGATTGCTCAAAAGAAACTTTGCAGGCTTGAAGGGACTTGCAAAACATATTCCAAGTAGTGAAAGGCAAGGACCTACAACCTAGATTACTCTATCCAGGAAAGATATAATTTAGAATGGAAGGACAGATAAATTGCTTTCCAGACAATGTGAAACTAAAGGGGTTCATCATTACCAAGCCATTATTATATGAGGTGCTAAAGGGAGTTATTTAAGAAAAAGAAGATGATCAAGACAGTGAACATTAAAACAGCAATAAATTTAGAACTACCAATAATTGAATCCAAATAAACTAAGCAAAGAAGCAGAACAAGAACAGAATCATAGAAATGCAGATCATTTGGAGGGTTATTAGTTGGGAGTGGGGTACAGCGTAGATGGGAATAAAGGGGAAAAAATGGGGCAACTGTTAATAGCATACTCAGTAAAATATATTAAAAATAATGTTTAAGAAAATCTCTGTACTCTAGCTATTCATTTTTTCCTCCCCATTAACATCTCCCAAACACTGATCTTTGTGCTGTGTCTATATTTTTGCCTTTTCCAGAATGTTGTGTAGTTGGAATCATACAATAGGTAGTCTTTCAGATGCCTCCTTTCACTTAGTAATATGTATGCATTTGAGGTTCTTCCATGGCTTTTCATGGCTTGAAAGCTTATCTTTTAGCTCTGGATAATATTTCATTGTTTGAATGTACCACAGTTTAATTATCCATCACATACTGAGCAACTTGGTTGCTTCTAAGTTTGGAAATTATGAATAAAGCTGCTATAAACATCCATGCATGAGTTTTTGTATGGACATGTTTTTAACTCATTTGAGGAAGTACCGAGAGCACATTTCCTAGGTTGTTATGGTAGGCATGTTTAGTTTTATAAGGAACTACCACACTGTATTCCAAAGTCGCTGTGCCATTTTGCATTCTGAGCAGCAATGAATGAGAGAGTTCTTTTTGCTCCACCTCCTCATCAGCATTTGATGCTGTCTGTGTTCCAGATTTTGGCCATTATAATAGGTGTGTAGTGATATCTCATTTTAATTTGCATTTCTGTGATGACATATAATGTGGAACATCTTTTCATATCCTTATTTGCCATTTGTATATTTTCTTTCATGAGGTGTCTATTAAAATTTTTGGCCTTTTTAATATATTGGGTTGTTTGTTTTCTTAATTGTTGAATTTTAAGAGTTCTTTGTATAATAAGGTGTGCTTTTTGCAAATATTTTCTTTCATCCTGCAAGTTATCTTAGTCTCTTGAATTTATCTTTCACTGACAAGTTTTGAATTTTAATAAAGTTAAATTTATCAGTTATTTTACTCATGGATCATGCCTTTAGTGTTCTATGTAAATAGTCATTTCTATACACGAGGTCATGTAGGTTCACAACTATTGTATCTTCTAAGAGTTTTATAGTTTTGCATTTTACATTTAGATCTGTAATCCATTTTGAGTTAATTTTTATGAAGGATGTTATATGTGTGTCTAGATTCATTTTTTTTCATTGTGGATATCCAGTTAGTTATTCTAGTACCTTTTGTTGAAAAGATTATATGCTTCATTGTATTGCCTTTTTACTTTTCTCAAAGATCACTTGACTATATTTATGTGGTACTATTTCTGGGCTCTCTATTCTGTTCTGTTGGTCTTTTTGTCTCTTCTTTTGCCTCTCTATAGGCAAAAGAAGATTCCTGTAGCTTTATAGTAATTCTTGAAGTTAGGTAGTGTCAGTCTCCCAACTTTGTTCTTCTTCTTCAATATTGTGTAGGCTATTCTGGGTTTTTTGCTTCTCTGTATAAATTTTAACGAACTATAGAAATGATCTCTGAAAGTATAGTCTTTCTGTATAAATTTTAGAATCAGTTGGTTTATATCCACAATATAACTTGCTGGAATTTTGATTGAGATTATGTTGAATCTATACATCAAGTTGGGAAGAACTGACATCCTAACAATATTGAGTCTTTCTTTCCATGAATATGAAATATCTTTCCATTTATTCGTTCTAGTATTTTTTCTTGATAGTATACTTGAATTTTAGTTTACTGATATTTTTAAAGAGTTTCTTTATTTTTAGAGAGAGGGAAAGGGAAGAAGAAAGAGGGGGACAGAAACATTGATCAGTTGACTCTCACAATCCCCAAGTGGGAGCCTGGCCCACAACCTAGGCATGTGCCCTCACTGGGCATGGAACTGGCGACCCTTCAGTTTGTGGGATGAAGCTCAACCCACTGAGCCAAACCACTCAGGGCTAGTTTATTAATTTGTTTTTAAAAGATTTTATTTTATTTTTAGAGAGAGGGGAAGGAGAAAGGGAGAGAAACATCATCAGTGTGTGCTTGCCTCCTGTCCACCCCTTACTGGGGACCTGACACACAACCCAGGCATTTTCCCTGTCAGGCCAGCACTCAATCATCTGAGCCACACCAGTCAGGGCTAGTTTACTAATTTTTAAGCCAGGACATCATTTGGTTGATCTACACAACATCTTTTTAAAATCTTTTTTTCAGGTCATAAATAAGGTCCATCTTAAGGCAAATCATGTTGTAAAAAGAGATATTAATGAACATTTAAGAATCAAGACTGTCTACGATAAAAGTATTGAAGAGTAAGTGCATATTGATATTGTCACCTTTTTTATTAAGAATTAAATTATTAAAGATATTTTTATGTGTTATCTGAAGGGTCATAGATTGAACTAAGTGCCAATGCACCTTCAAGATGGAATTAAGCTAAAAATGCTCTTTAGTTGGGAAAGATGATGACTATGAAGTATGATTAAAATTTATACATCTGAATAATTTGAACAGAAAAAATGTAGATCTATTTAGCTGTGGTCAATAACAGACCTAGAAGGCACCTCTTCAATAGTTACTTGGAAGAAAAGTAAGAGAAAGTGCTTATATATACAATAGTAAGAACATTTACAAAATTATTAACCAGGGACGATACAGTTTAAATTTATTATTTACTGTAAGAGGGGTCCAGAAAACAGATAAATTATGAATCTATGGTAATTTATGAAGCTCGATTAAGCATAGTTGATGTTCTTCCCTATCTTCAACTTCCCAAATGAATGAAATAGCATATGATTATGTACAGTGCTGTGTTTTGGCACAGAGTAAATTCTCAACTGTTCATTGAGATAAATTGAAATTTTGGGGGATCGATACTGTACGTTTCCACAAAGTATCCCTTGGGGCTTCTGCCAGATGTGTTCTGAATAAATGAAACAGTGCTCTGCCCCAGCATGGCAATTCTTATGTTTCATGTTGTCAATTTCAGGTTGCTCCCTGAAAAAAGATACCTTGTTAAGGTAGGTAAAAAAAAATACTCATGGCTTGAACCAGGTACTTAAAATAAGTATATTTAATTATATGTAAATTCTACTTCAGTAAAGAAAAATATATACATGACTTTTGTGAACAACTCGGTAAGACTTGTCTGAATTTAGTATTAGGTTAGTCTTCTCATTTTATAATTGAATATTAAATTAGTCTTCTCAGTTTCTTGTTCTCTTAAGTTTTGGGGCAGGAGAACATACTGAGGATAGTGTAAAACTGATTTTTGAAATACACTGAGATTATGTTGTGGTGGAAATGCTTATTTTTCTGAAGATTAATTGACCTGAAAGGATGATATGCCAAAGCTGTTTATAGAAGTGCTAATCTCATTAGTTTTTTAACTGTTACAGAGAGTCTCAGGCACAGACACACACAAAGCCAATTCATAATTGGTTACAGAAATAAGTGAGGTTAAAGCAAATCTTCTAAACATAAGACTTTCTTTTTATTTTCCTAAATTGAATTATTGGGATAACATTGATTAGTAAAATTATGTAGGTTTCAGGTGTACAATTCTATAATACATCATCTGTAAACTTCATTGTGTGTTCACCACCCCAAGTCAAGTCTCCTTCCATCACCATTTATCCTCCCTTTACCCTCTTCAACCTACCACCCCATCCTCCTTTCCCTTTGGTAATCACTATACTGTTGTCTGTGCCTATGCGGTTTTTTGTTTGTTTGTGTTTTGCTCATTCCCTTCAGCAACATAAAATTTTCTTAACATAAACTACCTTAATGTTGGAACCAACTAACTCAGTCCCAAATATGAAGTAATTTAGATTAATAGTTGAGATTTATATTTTCCAATATTCTATTTAAATGGAGATAAAGAAGGAAGTTTACATCTTTCCTTCCTTATCTCCATTTAAATGGAGGAAATTTCCCCAAAATCAACTAGAAAAGTAGGAAATTCCTTCGCACCTAGACTTATTTAGTCTTTTCCCTACTCCTTGCCATACAACCTTTGACTAATGAATATCTGTACTCCAGAATTGTAAGGCTTTTTTTTTAAACCCTCAATCATTAAAATCCTATGCTTACTTGTTTTAAATATAATTTATAATTTGAGTATAATTCTGACTGGTTTTCTTTTTTCAACTTTTATTTAGAACAAACTTTTCCCGCAAGCTATTTCTTATTTAGAGAAGACTTTTCAGGTTCGCAGACCTGCAGGCACTATCTTACTTAGCAGGTATGTATGTCACATTAAACTCAGATCATTTTCTTGTCATTTAGTACTCTGCCCTTCCCATTCTAACCAGTATGGCAAATTATTAAATTCATACTAGAATATTTCATACACTTTTTCTTACAGACTAACATGCAGGTATTTTAAAGGAATATAAAAGCATCTGTTGGGTAATCACTCTTTTCTGATTTTCTATTACATGGTGACCTACTAGATCTTTTCCTAGGGTGTAGTGGTTCTCTCCCTCACTTTCTGTTCCCTTTCTCCCTTCTTTGTTTGTCCTGAGTATTAGCTTTATGAAATATTTGGTATTTGAAAACCCAGATCAGGAAGATTTCCCATGAAACCAAAATTCTTTCTTAGTCACTTTCTAATTATCAATTAACTAATATAGCAGTTACTAGTTTTTTTTAAAATGTCTTTCACTGATATGAACTATTCTTTCCTTTTTTGTGTGTGTGTATTAAACTTTGATGTTCAAATGAACTGTAGACAATGTGCAACAAACCAATACCTACGGAAAGAAAATGATCCCCATAGATACTGTACTGGAGAATGTGCACAGCATACAAAATGTGGCCCAGTTATAGTGCCTGAAGAGCACCTCCAGGTAATTCAGCCTGCTCTTGCAATGTTTCTATTCTTAGAATAAACATAATGAAAATTTTGAATCTGTGTCAAGAAATTTTTAGATTTAAAAGCTTCATTCTTCTACCCAAAGTAATCACAGTTAGGTATACTGATTTTATTATTTCATTGGTTTTAAAATGACTTTAATGATATTTTCTTTCCTTTTTAAAATTTTTAAAATTTATCTCTGGGACTGCTTAATTAGTTCAGCTTAGACCTTCAGCTTTATCCTCTAAAACATCTTTTAGCAGATATATATTCCAAAACTTATGAAGGGCAATTTGACATTATCTCTTAAAATTTTTAAAAAATCTATACTTCAACCCAACCTAGAAATATATTACATAAAAACACTTATAAATATGTAATTTATGTACAAGGATATTCTTTGTAAAACTATAAATATGACTCATTCTCTTGCTCATGATCTGTACTCACTCTGTGTGTTGGCATGCTCACTCTGGCCCAGAGCATGTGATCACATGAGTCTAGCAGCTGCTGGAGTCCACAATTTAATATGAAGCAAAAACTCTGGACACAGGCTTTTGTTTTGGCCTTGTTGAAGACAAGGTTGGACCTTTCTCCATAGTGGAATGGGCAGAGAGGAGACACAGGGGCAACCTTCTATATTAATAAACCTTGTTACCACAGCACAATCTCCCTGCCTGGGTCCTTGAAGTGCTTTACATGTGAACCCATGGAAGGGCCTGATTTCCACCTACAACATTTTGCAAGCCAGCAGGAGGGAGGGGTTTATGAATATAACAAGGATGCCGGCTTGTCCAACATTGTAATCCTGTAGACATTACATATGCTGCCTCTGAGGGACAGCTCACTGACCTGAATTTTGCAAAATTCTTCCTCCCTGTATGAAGACTCTCCTACTTTTTTATTCCTTTATTCCTTTAACAGATAGAAAGATCCTCTGAGCCAGGGAATAGACAGGACTATACCCTTTGACATTAAAAAAAAAAAAGAGCTACAGAAGATGAGACCTGCATCTACTTACCCTTGTAAGATTACAAGGCTTAGGGTCTTCAGGGGGGAATGTTAACATAGGTAGTTAGCTAATTATTAATAAAGAAAGTGAAGCAAAGGGAATTAGACATTGAGCTAATAGACTGGTGTACAGCTTCACACACTAGAGCATCATAGCCTTGCTCCTCCAAGCTTCACACACTAGAGCATCATAGCCTTGCTCCACCAAGGTGATTAACACTCCTCCTTTCATCTACTCTGGTACTGTATTGCTAGGGGTGCAAAAGGAGGTGCTTGACCATAGAGGTCTGTCAGTCTAACCAGAGGGTGAACCCATCAACAATCCCATGAAAGCTTGGGAAGTTCATTAGTTATTTTGAAAAAGCACCTGGTCCATCCTGAACCCAAGGTAATATAATTCCAGGGGAACAAGGAAACTCTTCAATGTGTCTTGCTTGTGACCTGCACTTGCCACCTGTGTTTGCGTGCTTTCTTGCCTGGGTGTGTGCAATCGTGAGTTTAGCAGCTACTGGCCCACAACAGGTGGTATGGGCTCTAAAATACTAAGCTTTCTTTTTTTTTAAAGATTTTATTTATTTATTTTTAGAGAGAGGGAAAGAGAGGATGAGAGGGAGAGAAATATCAATGTGTGGTTGCCTCTCATGTGCCCCCTACTGGGGATCTGGCTTGCAACCCAGACATGTGCCCTGACTGGGAATCAATCTGGTAACTCTTTGGTTTGCAGGCTTGCGCTCAATCCACTGAGCCACACCAGCCAGAGCAAGGACTAAGCTTAATATGAACTGAAAACTCTAGACATTGGCTTTTGCTTTGGCATTGCTAAAGACAAGGTTTGACTTTTTCCATGGTTGAATGGATGAAGGAGGAACACAGGGGCAGCCTTCCACATGAGTAAACCTTATTGCCACACCACAAACACTAAAATACACTATAAATATGCCTGTATTAGTATTAGTTAAATTATAGTCTAACCATGTCATGGAATACTATGTAGCTGTTGAAGAATGAAGTAGATCTCTATATACCGACTTGGAAAGATATTTAAGCTCTTAAATGAAAAAAAAGTTTTAAGTTAGTATATGTAGTTAGCCTATTTTATTTAAAAGTTATTCAATTATTCAACTTTCAATAAAGCTGAAATAAAAACAATTTTAAACAAGATACATTCAGCCCTGGTTGGTATAGCTCAGTGGATTGAGCTCCAGCCTCCGAACCAGAGTATTGTGGTTTGATTCCCAGTCAGGGCACATGCCTGGGTTGCAGGCCAGTTCCCAGCAGGGGACCCATGAGAGGCAACCGTACATTGATATTTCTCTCCCTCTCTCCTTCCCTTCCCCTCTAAAAATAAATAAATAAAATATTTTAAAATAAAAAAAGGTACATTCATATAATAAAAAATTATGAAACTTTCTGGAGGTATATACACATATTAAAAAATCTGAACACATACCAAAATGTGCTTTTCTTTAACAGTTGCATTGTGCAGGGCTTTTTTTTGGTATAGTATATATTTTTGTAATGTTCAGATTTTTCATAGTAAGTATATTATATCAAAACAGATAAAAAATTTAAATGCATATACCAGAATAGAGTTTATTATACTTTTAAAACTATGATTATTGCTATATTTTGTATGTTGGACTGTGTTCTCACATTGCTTATGAGAACATTGAATACATTACTAAACATTGATTTGTAACCAAAGTTAAGCATTTGTTTAGATGAAGTTTACTTTGTAATTTTTTTCTTTTTTTTTTAACATTTTTTTATTGTTCAAATACAGTTTTCTGCCTTTTTCCCCCACCTCTTCCCACCACCCCGTCCCTCCCCACCTCCCTTCCCTGTTTCCATCCCCTCTCGTTATTGTCTATATGTCCTTTATAATTGTTTCGGCAAACCCTTCACCCTTTTCCCCTATAATCCCCTTCCCTTTCTTCTCTGGTCACTGTCAGCCTGTTCTCAATTTCAGTGTCTTTGGTTATATTTTGTGTGCTTGTTTGTTTTGTTGATTAGGTTTCAGTTAAAGGTGAGATCATATGGTATTTGTGTAATTTTTTTCTTAAGGTATTTAAAGCTCAGTAAACACTTTTAGACCCCTATGTATTGGCAGTAATACAACTACCTTACTTTTTTTCCCAAATTTCTTTAGAGTGTAAAGGTTTGTAGGGACACATTTAAAAATTAAAATATCCCTGAATGGCGTGGCTCAGTGGATTGAGTGTGCTTGCCTGCAAACCAAAGGGTCGCCGGTTTGATTCCTAGTCAGGGCACAAGCCTGGGTTGTGGGCCAGGTCCCCAGTATGGAACATGTGAGAGACAACCACACACTGATGTTTCTCTCCCTCTCTTTGTCCTTCCCTTCCCCTCTCTCTCAAAATAAATTAATAAAATTTTAAATAAAAATTAACACAACCTGTTAATTACATATCCATCTCTTTTCCCAAGACATTAAAGACATTTCCTACACATTTTAAAACATATATTTTCGCTTTGGTTCTAAGGCAGTTATTGTTTTTAATTATTTTGGCTATTCCAAATTCTGCTTTCTACTTATCTTCTTGAGAAACCCGTATTTTTGTTGTTGTTGTTGTTAAGTAAATGAGTGATCATGGGAAAGCTTTAAAATCAAAACTTTTGGTAACACCAACTATTAATAGGTTAGAGTAATTTAATTTAAAAAAATATGTATTTGTTAGAGAAGCAAGAATAAACAATGTAATGAAATGGGCATTTCTGATTTTTCTCTCTTTGCAAGCATCACTTATGCCTAAAAAAAATCACAATTTACTGATTTTTCATTTATAATTTGAAGATTAAGGTTGTTTAGGAACTTTTTAAATAAAAGAAGTTCTCTAAAAACAAACATTACAAGGACAAAGTTAAGATTTGCTTAGAAAGCTAGAAACAAGGGTAACATTACACAATGACTAACCTTTTTACCTTATGTACTTCTGAATTTAAATTTTTTAAAGATACATGAATTATTTGTAATAGGAAATATATTAAATAAAACATTTTAAATTAATTTTGAAATAACTATAGATTTGTAGAAAGTTGCAAAAAAATGTGTAAGGGGCATGCTGTCCCTGGGCAGCAGGTTTTTCGAGTTTGTGTCCCTTGTCCTGCTTGACTTCTCTTGGGGTATGTACAGGCTAGTGTTTTTAGAAGGAAAATGGAGCAAGAAGCCCAGTCAAAGGCAGTCCTCTGACCAAGGTCCTGCAACTTTCTATATCAGGAGCCTCCTTCTCCAGACATAGCAGATACTAACATATCTGCATCTACTGATGGTGCAGTAAGCACCTCACAGATTCCAGCTTTGGAACAAGAGGCCCTGGTGAGACCAAACCCATTGCTTTTGAGGTTGTCAAAATCCGTTGGTACACAAAAGACACTTATACTATGAAAGAGGTTATTTTGGGGGAGCTTTGCCCACAGAGCCCCCATCTGCCACAAGTGAGAGTAAGTCTACCAAGATTTCTCACCATGATCTGCTTGGGGAGGAAAGGAGGCCCATCGCTCAAAGGAGAAGAACCAGGAGCCTTTTCCTCAGTGGGCTTTTATTGGGTTCAGTTTGCACAGGAATACAGGTAAAGCTCATCAGTCATTGTCAGGCAGTGAGGATCAAACAATAGATAACATACAAAGAGCTATGAGGGTTTATTCTGAGTCAGGGTGAGTTAACTAAGGGGCTATAAAACTTTGGAAAACAAACTCATTTCCTGTTTGGACCCTTATCAGAAAATTGAGGGCATTCTTAGCGAAGCAGGTTTCACAGGAGTTTATGTATTCTTTCTTAGGCCTGATCACCCTGGGGAACCTGCCCTTTCCAGCATGGGGCTGCACCGCCCTTGTCATTGTTTCAGGCTTAAGTCAGGCAGGGGAAGCAAGGCAGCCAAGAGATTAAATTTCTTGCAAACAGAATGAGGACTCGGGCTATGTCAAAGCGAGGGTCCATCACCCCATTTTTCTATAGCCCCAAGTCCTTCCCTGGGGGGCCCCTTTGTCACTGTGCCTGTCTTAGGTTGTCCCTCCCTTGAGGAATCTTACCCGTCATTGGCTAACTAGTCAGGCTGGGGCCAAGCAGGGTGATGTAAAGGGGACAGAGGCAGTGCCCCTACCAGGGAGATAAGCTTTGTTTCCTTAGTGGTTTACGGTCCCAAGGTCTCTTACTCAGCCTTAGCCATGGGGGGGTTACAGCTTCTGAAACCAGACAGGGTGGTTCCCAACAGGTTATATTTTATCTTGGGCAATATATTATGAATAAACAATTATATGAGGAGAAGGAACAACATATTGTGTATCGTTCAAATGATCTAAGGGGATTTGTTTGGAGTGTCAAGTTTCTCTGTGAAGAACACAGGAAAATATATACAGTGATCTACAGAAACTCGGTAGTAGTCAATCAGCAGGAACCATCAGATTCAGGCACATCTGTGTGTGAAAACTGGTATGACCTTGAAGATAGGAGTAGTGAAAAAAACCCTGTGCAAGAGCTGCAGGAAGTGAAACCTTCCTCTTCAAAGTTGGTTTCTGGACCATTTATTTCCATCATCTAGATGGAGAACAATTAGTGACACAGGAGAAAACTTGGATGAATTACCCGGGGAATATCAAAGAGAGTGCCACAAATCTGATAGTATTTCCTTTGATGAAAGCCTTGCTCTGTGTGTAATAAGGGAGATACATTGTGAAAGAAGCAGTAGCAGTTGGTCAACAGGGACTCCATCAAACTCAGATCTTGATGCTGGTGTAAGTGAACCATCAGGAGATTGGTTGGATTGAGATTAACTTTCAGATAGATTCAGAGTAGAATTTGAAGTTGAGTCTTTAAATTCAGAAGATTATAACCCTACTAAGGTTATAAGAAGGACAAGATGAAGATGATGAAGTATATCAAGTTAATGTATATCAGGCAAGGGAGAGTGATACAGGTTGATTTGAAGATCCTGAAATGTTCTTACCCAACTATTAGAGCTATCTTGCATGCAATGAAATGAACCTTCCCCTTATCATCATATTGTGGGCCCTTTGTGAGAATTGGCTTCCTGAAGACAAAGGCAAAGAAAATGGGAACATGCTTGAGAAGACCAAACTAGAAAGCATAAGCAGAAGAGGGTTTCGATGCCCTGATTGTAAAGAGAGTGTGTGTGTGTGTGTGTGTGTGTGTGTGTGTGTGTGTGTGTACGTACATACATACAGTGATTTCCAAGAATTTTGTGTTGAGGAAAATAAAAAGATCACGTGAGCCTCCCAGTCTCCAGAAAATGAGGACTATTCTCAGCCATCACCTTCTAGTAGTATCATTTATAGCAACCAAGAAGATATCAGAGTTTGAGAGAGAAGAAACAAGACCAGGAAGGAAGTGTGCAATCTCATTTTTCCAATAATATTATCAGACCTTGTGTGATTTGAATTTGCCAAGGCCGACCTAAAAATGGTTACATTGTCCATGGCAAAAAAGGACATGTTAGGGCGTGCTTTCTTTACATATGCAAAGAAGACACACACACACACACACACACACACACACACACACAGCCCTACCCAGTATGTAGACAACAATTCAAATGATCGTACTAATTTATTTCTACTAGTTGACCTACCTATAAAAGTAGGTTTATATGTTTCTAACTATACATATCTAAAAAGTTAGACATGAAATTTAATTTTTTTACATGTATCAAAGCAAGAAGGTATGTTAGTGCATCTAGATTTGTGTTGTGTAATTTACTTACTTTGGGAGACAGAATAGTATTTCCTTTAGGGAAATTTCACTTCTGTTTATATTTTATATTTGGGTTTTAATGAAATTTGAATTTAACATATAGTTCATCCTTTATTCTTGCCTCTCATTTTAAATAATTTCCACTTTCTTGTAAAGAGGTATCTTACCTTTTAAAATTACTTTAAGTAGGACTATAAATGTATATAGTATCTTTCATGTAAGAAGAAGAGTTTGCGTGAAAGATGTGATATTTAAATTTTAGATATTCTTAAACCTTTTGATCCTTAGTTTCTGTACTTTTCAGAACCTCTTAAAATACTCTTTCCAGATAAAAAAGAAATTGATAGTTATAATTACTGTGTAGGTAAAAATCTTCTTACTATCTCAGCTTCTTTGGTATAATAAAGGATAGGTAGTAATGATGTTAGTTTGAGAAGTTATTGAGAATAACCATCATTTACCCATAAACAAAACTTTAAGGTTCCCCTGTACAATTTGTACTTGTCCTAGGCATCTTATAGACTCTCCCACACCTTATTTCTCTTACAGACTCTCTCCCACGCCTAGGATTTAGTGCAATGTATTATTTAAGTTGAGAAATTCTAAGACACTTTGAAGTGCCTTCATGGGCTGGGTTTCATGGTTTTTTTGATAGTTACCTAAGTTTCAGACCTTTGCTTAAGGCCAGTTTTAGAAACCAGTGAATTTACAAAGACTAAATGAGAAATTTAATAAACAGAAGGACTGTTTGTTATTGAACTAGCTGGAAATGTCATAACTTTGCTGTAAAATTATCCAAAAATTTTTCATCACTTTTTTTTAATGATAGTGTCAGAACACAGGGTTCTAAGATATCTCAAACTGCATAGATTAACATCTTGATTTATATTTAAATATGAATCTTTAGCAAACCAGTGAAAGTAATCACTTTGATTGAAGGTTCCAGTGTTTTACTCCCATGTATGACAGTTGTCCACACTCAGGTGTAGACAATAAAGGCAGCTGAACTACGTTTAGAAGGATAATTTCCCACAGCAGGTTTGTGCCAGTTACTAATGTTACATTGTATTAAACTTTAAAAACGGAAAACATACTTGTGACTTACCTGTGTCTACATGTTAAGTACAAAACAAATGGCTGAAGTGATTATTACCTTGGCCAAAGAGTGATCCTCAAATACAGTAAGCTTTATTAATGTGGGGTTTATGATATTTTAAATAGAATTAATTGTTTCTGAGGAGAGTTGGTAATCAAAATGACATAAGTACTGTACATTCAGGATATGTTAATGCAACAATTATTCTATTTACAAAACATTCAGATTTGTGCAAATAGTCTCATTAGGCATGCATATGCATTGCTAATGTAATCTTGATTGTCTAAAGTTTTGGTTTGGTTACTTAAATGTATTGATTTATGAACAAATGATTTACTAAATATTTTTTAAAATGTGTAAGAAGGCCCCTTATAAGTTTCACCTAGCTTCAGGGTTTAAAACTGTATATTTCTGCACTGGCTGGTGTGGCTCAGTGGATTGAGCACCAGCCTGCAAACAGAAAGGTCACCAGTTCAATTCCCGGTCAGAGCACATGCTTGGGTTGCAGGCCAGGTCCCTAGTTGGGGCATGTAAGAAGCAACCAGTCGATGTATTTCTTACATGTTGTTTCTCTCCCTCTCTTTCTCCTTTCCTTTTTTCTCTAAAAATAAAAATAAATAAATCTAAAATAAAGAAAATCTTAAAAAAATATTTTATATTTCTTTTTTCTGTCCTGGTTAGCTGCCCTTTATAAACAGCAATTGTTTGTTTGGATTAAGATTATATACTTATGATGATTTTACATAAAGTATAAATTTTAATAAAATAAATTCAAAATTAGAGACAAGAAATGAATGAAGGGAGGTATGGATTTTGTTGAAATTTGGGGGGGTACATAAAATTGTCTGGATTCACTATAAATTGAAAGTCCCCACAGCTAACTTTGTCTTGGTCTGATTTTCTGTTACTCACCATGAACACAGCAATGCAGGGTCTGCCGTGGGGGTAAGTGGCCCTGTGGAGCCGTGGGTGTGCCTGACCAAGAGGGCATCCAGGATGCCGACTTTGTTCTCTATGTTGGTGCTCTGGCCACTGAGAGGTGCAGCCATGAAAACATCATCTCTTATGCAGCCTATTGTCAGCAGGAAGCAAAAATGGACAGGTAAACTTCACATGAAACTTACTTTCCAAGATCTAATATGGGAACTCTTAATAGAAACTGTATGTGTTTAGAATACAAGAAGTTTGCATCTTTCAGTTGCCTTTAGTACTAAGAAAGAGCACACTCCTATAGGATTATAACTCCCCAATCCATCAGGTTATAGGATTTTATGTGTATGGCAATGTCAGTACCAACTCCAAAGAAAAAGTCTACTGTCAAGAGAATTTTTTTGGCAGTAAATACCTTTCTGAGGAGAGAATTTGAACTTAAATTTTAGCAATTCTGTACTAAGCTGTAAAATATTAAAAATAACTTCATCTATTATAATTGTCCTATCATTTGATATGTGCTTTTACTTAGCTAAATTATCATTTAAAAATTAAAGCCCATTTTTTAATTTATAAAAGGTTTCTAAAAGATATTTCCAGTGGAGCAGTCTTGAAATGAAAAGTTACTATATATCCAGAAGATAGACAAATCAATTAAAGGCTATAGAGATTTCAGTCTCAGCACAGACTCCATATAACATTCTCAAATCTAGGAGAGTTAATGCGATCAATTCATGTGTATATAAGGATCATTGCTGAGGTGTTGAACAGTTGTGTGTCTGTTCAAAGACTTGCTGGCTTCAAAGAATTGTTTCACTTGTATTGACATATAATTTATTTAAGGAAAAAAATTATTTGTTGAACCAAATAGTCATACAAAGGATACACTGATATGTGCTTCAGAATTATACTGTCAATACTGACAGTGGTAAGGTCAAAATCAGCATCATGCATTAGGAAAAGTACTCTGTAAACATGATACTACATAATTGTCGGTCCATGAAGTTAGCTCAAAAAATCTTTAGTTTCTGAATGTTCAGAAAGCTTATAGTCAAATATTGAATGTATGTTTTACTGAAGAAAGTACTATATGTCTTTCAGATATGTAAGTAATATTATTTAATAAAAAGTATATATATTTAATAGAGTATTCCTTTTTTCCTGAGAAGCTGTCATTAAATTTGTGATAGTTTATAATTAATGGTGCTTTGGTATCAAGGAAATGTGGTATTTAAAGTGCTAAATGAATGATAAAATTAGTTACTTGATAAAATGAGATAGTTTCTTAAAGTAAGTGACTCTGAGAAATACATCTTCATGGTAGTAGTACTGTAAAATCATGGTTCTTTATCTTGATTTGAACTGAACAGATTAAACACACACATACACACAATATCTCATTTTGGATATCTCATGGTAAATGTCAAAAGAACATTGTGAAACAGTGTATATGTGATTCCGTATGTGTTTTCAAACTCTCTCTATATTTGAATGTGCTAAGGGAAAAGTCAGAAATAAATAGTATTACCAACCATCCCATTGCCCAGGACTACCTTGTTTTAGCACTGAAAGTCCCATGTCCTGGGGAACCCCCTCAGTTCTGGCAAACCAGGATAGCTGGTCACCCTAAAAATAAAGCACTCCATATCATTGATAGCTGTTATCTCTGATAGTGGAATTTAGTGGAGGTAGATTGTAAAACAAAACATTTTCATTTTTTCTTTATATATTTCTTTTAAAAGATTGATTTTAGAGAGAGAAAGAAGAGGAAGGAGAGGGTTAGGGAGGGGAGAGGAGGAACATCAATTTATTTTTCCACTTATGCATTAATTGGTTGCTTTTTTGTATGTGCCCTGGCTGTCGTTAAAACCCACAGCCTTGCTATATCAAGACAACAACTCTGACCAGCCAAGTGACCCAGCCAGGGCCCTTTATATATTTCTATATTATTTTCACACACACACGTATGTATGTATGTATGTATGTATGTATGTATGTATGTATATACACACACGTGTGTGTGTATATATATGCGCAATGAGCTTCTATTACTTTTTTATATAAAAAACATTCTAAAGTGAACATGTTATTAGGAACAGAAGGCTTCCCTAGGGAAATGGAGGGAAGGATATAAAATCCCATGTTGACATGGGTCTAGATCAGTGATTTCAACCTTTTTCATTTCATTGCACACATAAACTAATTACTAAAATTCTGCAGCACACCAAAAATATATTTTTTGCTGATCTAATGAAAAGGTATAATTTTCATTGATTTACCCCAAAAGAGTAATAGTAATTAGCTACCCTTTTTGCTCCAAAGTGACTTTTTAAAAAATCAGGTGCCTTTACTTATATATAAGGATTTCTGGTACCAAGAATTAACCAATCAGATGGAACCTTATTATGTGAAGTGACCAATAAGATGCAATTCTGTTATATGACCTATATATTTATCGCTTAAGACAGAGCATTCATGCCGTGGCCAGGTAGCTCAATTGGTTAGAGCATCATCCTGATACGCCAAGATTATGGGTTTAATCCTTGGTCAGGGCATGTAAGAGAAGCAATCAGTGAGTGCATAAATAAGTGAAACAACAAATTGATGTTTCTTTCCCTCTCCCCCTTCCTCTCTCTCTCAATTAAAAAAAAAAAGAGCTTTCACACTGGACAGCTATGCCCTTATTAATTTGACAAGCTAAGGGAAAAGAGGTCAGTGTTCCAGGGGAGTGGGCGGAGGTGGAAGAGGGGATGGAGGGATAAATGGTAATGGAAAAATACAATTTAAAAAATGAACTATTAAAAAAATTCTTGGGGCACACCAGTGCGCCATAGCACACCAGTTGAAAGTCACCGGTTGAGATAATGCTCATATCTAATAATGCTTAAAGTACCTAAAGTATCTAATTGTCTTTTGATAAAGAGAATCCAGCATGGTAGTTGTCACACAGATGAGAATCCCATAGCCCAGAAGTGCATTTCAGTTTCATTGCTGTGCTGTTATGTTTGTTTAAAGCACTTTAACATTTGGTTCACTTTGATATAAATGAGTAGCTGAAAGAATAAATGTTCTTTGCATCAGTGATTATGAAGCTGTTCATCTATGTCTTCTCATAGCTGGGGAAAGATTTCTGAGGAGAATGTCGATGTTGGAAGAAAGAGCAGTATCTTTGGTTGTCCTTTTGTAATTTTTTCAAAGGAAGTAAAACTTCCCTTCAAAACTGCTGTATTGTATTCATTCCATGAATATTCAAGTGCTTAATGTTGCTGGCAGACTAGGTGAACAAAAGAGATATGTATACTTGCCTCATGAGACCTACAAATTACAGAGGGAGAGAGATATTAGTTAAATTTTCTTACAAATAAATTTTAAAATATGATAAGTATGCTTTGTAGAAAAAAACAGGGTGCTGGAATATACAAGAAAACAAACGGGGAAACATAATTTAGATCAATTAGACAAACAAGGCCTTGTTGAAAAAGGGAAATTTTAGCTCCAACATGAACATTGATAGGCTTCTGCCAAATAAAGAGGTAGAGAAAGAGCTTATGTTAGGAAGAAGCCATGTGTACCTGCTGCTGTTAGAAGACACTTCAGTGGACACTGTTTGAGGATGAGAGCTTCTTGAGATGGATTGAAGAGGAAGACAGGGCTGTTTCAGTCTAAATGCTGTAGAAGTCCCTGATGGGTTTTAAACCTGACAGTGACATTCATTTTATGTTTTAAAGGTTACTAGCAATGTTTTGGTAACTGAACTATATACCTACATTTTCCTACATATAAGTTTGTTGTTTTCAATTGCGAAGAAATGATGTTTTTTATTTAAATAAGACATGTTACTTTATAAATAGATCGTCAAAATTTAGTGAGTTTTGTGGTGTTTCTATGGTAAAATGTTAAGATAGTGGTGGAAGAAAGGCCCTTGGGGTTCCTTACCATTGTCTGTCTATTTGCCATAGCTTTTGAAAGACAGGTAGGTGCATGGTGGAACTGACTGAATTACTCTGGGTCCTAATCAGCTCTTGGACTCTCAGGTTCTGAGTGCAGAGGAGATGGAGAATTCTGTAGATTCTAGAAAGTATATAATATGAAAGAAGATAGTGGGAAGATAAAGATTTTTATATGAATAACCAGTATTGGCACAGGAGAAAGGGAGTAGTGAGATAGAGATAAGAAGGTTCAGCCCTGGCTGGTGTAGCTCAGTGGATTGAGCACAGGCCTGTGAACCAGAGGATCATGGTTCAATTCCCAGTCAGGGCACATGTCTGGGTTGCAGGCCAGTTCCCTGCAGGCAAGTTCCCAGCAGGGGATGCATGAAAGGCAACCATACATTGATGTTTCTCTCCCTCTCTCCTTCCCCTCTAAAGATAGATAAATAAATAAAATAAATAAATAAATAAATTTAAAAAAAAGAAGGTTCAGCAACTTTCAGCAACAGGAATGATTTGCTTATTGTCCTGTTGTATATCTGGTTTCTCTCTCTACTTACTTGTTTGTCCCTTTGCCTGTTACTTACAGGGAAATGGTGAAGTCAAATGTGGATTTGTCAAGCAAAATAGTGTTAGAATTTGAATTTTTTAGTACATTCCTTTTTTGGTATATATTGACATTTTTAAAAATTCATACTACAGTATAATTAACTGGCTAAATTCTTTTGTGGTGTTGATTAGCCATGCCATAAGAACACAGATATATATGTTTTCAAAGTAAAATGCAGTGAAAGTTAAATGTTATGGTACAAAGTGACATTTGGTATTTAGCAAAGATTTTTCTGACCTTAGTTAGTTTATGATAGAAAAATATAGATATTATAGTGCCTGTTGTTCTAGAATATAATGAAAATTCAATGTCTGTTTTAACAGGCCAGTAGCAGGATATGCTAATCTGTGTCCAAATATGATCTCTACCCAGCCTCAGGAGTTTATTGGAATGTTGTCCACAGTGAAACATGAGATTATTCATGCTCTGGTAAGTTTTGCTAATAACTGTTTTTCATTTTTTGTTGTTTGTCTTGGTTTTCTGTTTATTGTGCTCTCATTTTGATATATGTATTAAATTTCAAGATTATGTAGATTGTTAGATTCACGTTCTGTAAAACCTAGTCGATTAGGTTTCTGCCTACAGAAAATTTATAATGATTAGCATATGGGCTAGGTCGAGTTATACTACTTAAAATAATTAAACAAGTTGTTCCATTAGGCAAAAAGAGTTTTTGAGAAAATGATTAAATTTCTTCAGGAAAAAAATGGTGATTTAGAAAAACTGACTTCCCTCCAAAATGATAACTGACATACAAATTATATATCTAATCTCCTACAGAGATCTCATTTCTAAAAGTCCTTTTGGTCTATTTAGGTTTTCTAAATTTATATATACTACCTGATTCAGAACTTCTTCCATTTCTCTAATATATCCAAAATAGTGAATTTTTACTATATGTCTAGGGAATTAAACAACATTGCCTAACACCCCAGGAAATGTTCCTCTGATGTTATGAGTTTTTGAAGTACATGGAAGTAAAATAGAGACAATGGGTCACACAGATGTGGGTGTAATTCTTAATTCTATCACTAAAAATCTTTGGGATCTTACGCAAATACCTAGCCTTTGTAAGCCTCAGTTTCACCTGTAAAATGAAGCTAGTAGTACATACTAAAGTGGATTTCTTTTCTTAAAGATTAAATAAGACAAAACATTTAAATGGCTTAGCACCTTGATATACATAACAAGGTGTAATAAAATTATTGACTTATTTATTAGTTTTATTTAGTGAATTAACATGTATGACCTTGAAATGCAAGCCTCAGGTTTTTCAATATTGATACTAGAGAGAGAGAAAATGGGAGAGAGAAAAATGTCCATTCGTTGTTTTGTGTATTTATGCATTCATTGGTTGTTGCTTGCATGTGCCCTGAGCGGAGACTGAACCTGCAACCTCGGCGTATCAGGACTACACTCTTACCAACTGAGCTACCTGATCAGGGCCTTTCCCCAACCCAAACATTAATGTATTGATTTACTGGAAATACAAAGTGTGGGGTTCAGGACTAACTTAACTTTACAGTCCAACTCCATTTCCCTGTGCTTCCCTTAGTTGCATCCTTCTCATGAAGCTTCTGTCTCTCTTAGAGAGAGAGGGAAATGGCGGGACAGAGGGAGAGAAGCATCAGTGTGTGGTTGCCTCTTGAGTGCCCCTGCTGGGTACCTGGTCTGCAACCCAGGCATATGCCCTTACTGGGAATTGAACTGGTGACCCTTTGGTTCTCATGCTGGCACTCAGTCCACTGAGCCACACCAGCCAGGGCAAGCCTCAGTCTTTAAATCTGCAAAACTTTGAATGACTCAGTGAAACTGTAGTGAAACCAGATAGCACTCATATCTTTCAAGTTAGGAAATTCTAAAATGAATCATCTGTTTTCCCTTTATTAAAAAGATAAGTTGTGCCTGCTAAATTTGGTAAAAGACAAGCATCATTCTAAGTAGCATTTTAAGCTTTAAGTTTTAAAATCTACAGGTACTTGATGAAAGTACCAAAGGAAAACAACAGGTTTTAAGTCTAGTTCATAAATGAACATGAATTCAGAGGTCCAAAACATGAGGTAAATTAGGTTATTAATAGACTCACAAAAGAAAAAATTCAGTTGGCCAAGAAATGTATGAGAAGTTATTCATCCTTACTGTGAACAGTCAGGTAATTGCAAATGAAAGTGAGGCACCACTGAATATAAAAACGTGTGAGAGTTATAGAAATTGTCTTCAAGTTAGTGGTTACCCTCTGGGAAGAGAAGGAGGAGAAAGGGTTTAGGGAACGAGGCTCCAGTAGTATTTACTCTGCAGTGTTTTAATTCTTAAAAAGAAAATATGGCAAATCTAACATCTTAAATCTTAGAGAAGATGTATAAGTTTCCATTAGATTTTTGAAACTTTTTGTATATTTGAATCATTTTAAAAATGGTTAAAGAACTCTAAGAAATTTAAAGATTAGTTTAAGTCTCAAAAACTGCCCTGGAAGATGGTAAGAATTAAATGTTTAACAACTACAGATACTCCCTGTAAAGTCAAATATGTTCATAGCTATCAACTACAATCATCCATGGTACTTTGAATACTAGATAGTCCTGAAATAGGAGTGCTTAGAAGAATTTTCTGGTTGATAGGGTTGAAAAAATGTGCACTTAGAATATTATAGAGGATGAGACAAATCATACTATTTTAAGCTTTATATAACTAGTGAATTGTATATTAAAAACTATTTAGATTTTCTTAGCAGATTCCATTAAGTGTCCTTTGTCTCTTCAGAGATTAAAAAAGAAGAAGAAATACAGGGATAAAAGAATAATCTGGATTCCATTAATCATTTTGACAAGCCTTGAATGACACAGAGGCCACAGTTATGTAAGCAAGGAAATTTGCCAGTGAAATTAAGTGATCATTTATGATTGTTAGTTATTTGAGTATAAACTTGCATATTCTCATGTATAAGACATACATAAAGTAGTAGTTACAGAAATGCTTTGTTTTAGTTATTAGATTAGGAAAGAAAGCAAGAGAAGAAATCTGGCTAATGAAATAGGAGCTATCAAATGTCAACGATTTTTATTTTTGCCCATTTTCTCTTCTTATTTGGGAAAGGAGAGATAGAGAATAGGAATTTGAATACCTTTTGTGAAGAATACATTATCATTAAAATTGAAGTGTTCTTAAAATAAAAATTCACATTGTAAAATAATTTTGGGAATGTGAGTGACTTTACATATTACCCTACCAGCAAAAGAACCACAGCTAACATTTTGATATATATGTTTCCATTCTTCTCTTTTTTGTTTTTTTTGGGGGGTGGGGAGAAAGAAGGGAAGATTGCCTCCCACGTGCTCCCTGACTGGGGATTGAAAGAAACTGCAGCCTAGGTGTGCGCCCTGACCAGGAATGGAACCCACAATATTTTGGTGTACGGGAGGACCTTCAACCAACTGAGCAACCCAGCCAGGGCTGGTCTTTTTTTTTTTTTAAGGTTTTATTTATTTTTAGAGAGAGGGGACAGGAATGTGAAAGAGTGGGAAAGAAACATCAATGTGTGGTTGCCTGTCATGTGTCTTCTACCAGGGACCCCGCCCACAACCCAGGCACATGCCCTGACTGGGAACCAAAACTGAGACCTTCTGCTTCACAGGCCCGTGCTCAATCCACTGAGCTACACCAGCCAGGGCCAGGGCTGGTCTTTCTTAACTGTGCTCACACACAGACATCACACACACACATTTACACTTAAAAAATGAAAATATTTATTAAATGTGGACTTTGGGATCCATGACTGAATTTTTATGAATGCTCTTAGGAGCACACTTGATCACTCACCCCTTACTCTAAACTGTATTGTTGTTTTCAATAGTAGCATTCCCTGGATGCAATTACAGAGTTTAGTAAGTTCTCATGGAGATCAACCGTGATAAACGCATTCTTAAATAAATGCATTGTCCATATGCATTTATAGACAACTAACTTTTGGTTTCCTCACTCTGTAACCTCAAGTAATTGGAATTTAAAATTCAGAAATATGAAGCACTTGTCCAGTTCCAGTATGAGAAGTTCCTGTAGCTTTCATTTGGTTACCTCAGTGTATGATGTCTCGAATCAGGGTTGATATTTTCCACTTTAAGATATTTTGAACTTTCTCTTACAGGGTTTCTCTGCTGGGCTGTTTGCATTCTACCATGATAAAGATGGAAATCCTCTGACTTCAAGATTAGCAGATGGTCTCCCATATTTTAATTATAGGTATTTGTTATGTTTGTTCTTACTCTCTTTTAGGAGGATACTAAGACTAGAACCTGGGAACCATAGCATGTTAAGGTGCCATAAATAGCAGTGATTTTATGGCTAGCCTAAGGAAATTGTAGCTATTAAAACAAAATAGGATACAAAAGGCTATTTAGCCTCACTTTTCATTTAAAGATGAAGCAGTTGAGTACAGAAAGGTTAAGTGACTTCAAAGACCCAAAACCCTCCTTGCCAAGCAGGGCTCTGTTCCACCATATTGTAACTGATCCTACTTTACAGTACGGCCATGAGAAAATGTGGGTTGGTTATATTTTGGTTTATTAATAATAATTGCCTATACATGGAGATATTTACATGTAAACGGACACATATTTTATTTAGCACAGCATATTAGCTATGATCTTAGAGGTTCGGGGCCTAAAATAAATAATATTAAGAAACACTAAAAATAGCCCTGGCTAGTCTAGCTCAGTGGATTGAGCACAGGCCTGCGAATCAAAGGATCAAGGTTCGATTCCCAGTCAGGGCACATGCCTGGGTTGCAAGCCAGTTCCCAGCAGGGGCCAGTTCCCAGCAGGGGACACACGAGAAGCAACCATACATTGATATTTCTCTCCCTCTCTCTTTCCCTTCCCTTCTAAAGATAAATAAAATCTAAAAAATAAATTTATTTTTTAAAAAAAGAAGAAACACTAAAAAGATTATCAAGAATTATATGTAGAATATCAGTTATAGAAACTATAACTCTTTGCATGTGTTTGTATAAAAATCTCTAGTCTAGGAGCTTATGTCCACAAAAGGGACACAACACGAGAATGTTCATGGCGGTTTTGTTGTTAATACCCCCCAAATGGGAACTACCCAAAGGTTCATCAGTAACAGAATGAAGAAATAAATTGTGATATATTCCTGCAGTTGAAAGCTACAAAGCAGTATCAGTATAAAAGGATGCACTATTGCTGCAGGCAAGTAAATTATACTTTCCCACAGCATCAAAGTGCCATCGTTTTTTGGTTAAGTTTCCTTATATACTTGGATATGTTTCTGGACTTGCTTTTACTTTTAATAAATTTAGTGAAAGGAAATAATTTATTGCCGTCTTAGCCAAGTACTGGCTGTGTGGACTTCAGCAAGTTACTTCATCTCTCTATGCTTCTGTCTCTTTATCTACAAAATGGTAATGATACTCTCCTGAGGTTGCTGAAAAGATTAAGTGTTATCAAATACTTTGGAAGGACTTGGTACATAATAAGGTCAAACATTTTAATTTTATTGATATTCATAAACACTTAAATTTAGTGTGGTGAATTTATAAAAGTGACCGTCTTCATGTCTTTTAACTACAGTCTTGGATTATATCAATGGAGTGATAAAGTAGTTCAAAAAGTGGAGAGATCATGGGATGTTCGAGATAACAAGATAGTTCCTCACACTGTGTATCTTCTAGTAACACCTCGTGTTGTTGTAAGTATGACTGAACTTAATGTCTGGTGAGCCATCTGCTCTTTTTCTTCACTATTGTCTTTTCTTTGCTAATCATTTGGTTAAGAATACATGGTTAAATTTTGGAGCCTATAATAGAAAAAATAATATAAAGGCAATACAGTAAAGCTATAGGCTCAGAGAAATCTGAGGAAATGGAAATTTGGCAATGACTCTCCTGGTTCCTATTCGACCCATTGGTTTAAGCCAGTGTGCCTAGTTTGATACCTCTTAGGATTACTGGTACTATTTGCCTAATTGCTGGTCATTTAATTTGGGTTTGTAATAGTGAGGGTTCTCCAGAAAAACAGAACCAGCAGGCAGTGTTGTTGACAGCTGCGGGTGGAGGGGTTTTATTTTAAGGAATTGGCACATGTAAATTACAATTGTGGAGTTTTAGAGAATCCATATCTGATAGAGTAGGCCGAAGGGCTGGCAGGCTGGAGACTCGGGGAGGAGTTGTAGTTTGAGCTCAAAGGCAGAGTCTGCTAGTAGAATTCCTTCAGTGTTCAGGTAAGGTCAGTCTTTTTTTTTTTTTAAAGATTTTATTTATTTATCTTTAGAGGGGAAGGAGAGAGGGAGAGAAACATCAGTGTACGGTTGCCTTTCGTGCGTCCTCTGCTGGGAACTGGCCTGCAGGGAACTGGCCTGCAACCCAGGCATGTGCCCTGACTGGGAATTGAACTGCGATTGTCTGGTTCGCAGGCCCGCACTCAACTTTTTTTTTTTTTTTTAATGCCTTTAACTGATTGAATAAGGCTCATCTAAATCCTTTCAACTAAATTGAATGTTAATCTCATCCAAAAGTATCTTCATGCCCTAGCCAGGTGACTCAGTTAGTTGGAGTGGTGAGGGTTTGATTTCCGATTAGGACACATACCTAGGTTGCATGTTCAATCTCTGGTTTGGGCACCTGTGGACGGCAGTTGATCAATGTTTCTCTCTCACATCATTGCTTCTCTCTCTGTCTTCCCACCTCTCTCTCTCAAGTCAATAAAATATATCCTTAGGTGAGGATTAAGAAAAAATAGCATCCTCACAAAAACATCTAGGGTAATGTTTGACCAAATACCTGAGCACAGTGGTGCAGCCAAGAGAATATAAAATTAACCATCACACTCTTATATAATGACGGAAACATATTCTTTCTTCTTTGTTCACTGAACACAGCTCTGTCCGCCTTCTGAACTTTTGCACTGCTCTTGGCGTATTTTCCATTCCTGGAAATGTCTGACTGAAAGACAGAAAAAAATGAACAAAACTGTATTCTGAGAAACAACTTACTTTTCCTACTGTGTGGATATGGATACTATTATCCATAACAAAAACAGTTTGTACCTAATTAACATTGTTGACACACAGCTACAAATGGCGATGGTACTAATCTATAACTTTTTTGAAATATATGAGTTAAAGTCAAAATCTTTAAATAGACAAAAATATGAAAAGAAGTAGTAATTTACTAGCAGAGTGGGACTTTATGAAAATATTTTATTTAATTAAAAAGCATATTTTTAAAAGATGTTCTCTTTCTCCTCACCAAAGTAATTCTTTTTTTTCTTCTTTTTAAAAATTTTATTTATTTATTTATTTATTTATTTAGAGGGGAAGGGAAGGAGAAAGAGTGGGAGAGAAATATCAGTGTGTGGTTGCCCCTCATGTGTCCCCTACTGGGGACCTGGCCTGTGCCCAGGCATGTACCCTGACTGGGAATTGAACCAGCAACCCTTTGCTTCACAGGCCTGTACTCAATCCACTGAGCTACACCAGCCAGGGCTCTTTTGTTTTTTTAATCCTCACCTGAGGATGTGTTTATTGATTTTAAAAAGAGAGGAAGAGGGAGAGAGAAAGGCAGGCAGAGAGAGAGTGACAGAGAAACAATGATATGAGACAGAAACATTGATTGGTTACCTCCTGCACATGCCCTAACTGGGGACCTAACCTGCAACCTAGGTATGTGCCCTGACCAGGAATTGAACCCACAACCATTTGGTGTATGGGACAATGTTCCAACTGACTGAGCCAACTGGCCAGTGCACCAAAGTAATTTTTTACTGTCTACTTTATTACATCTAGCATGATAGAAAATTTGCCATCGCCTTATTGTACTTTTGTAGGGTTTATTTATTTATTTTTTCTGATTTTTAGGATGAAGCACGAAAACATTTTAACTGTCCAATTCTGGAGGGAATGGAACTTGAAAATCAGGGTGGTATGGGCACTGAGCTCAATCATTGGGAAAAGCGTTTGTTAGAGGTTAGTTTATTTTAATATTTTACTAGATGTGTTTTAAAAAATATTTGGACACTTTTTAAACTCATGGTAAAGTTATTCAAATAGATATAATAGCATATAAAGTAAAAAAACTTTTAAGTCCCCTTTCCCCTTTAGCTTTCTAGATCCACTTTCCTGAAGTAATCATTTTTTAAGTTTTTTGTATATTCTTTTAGAAATATGAACTTAATGTACATACTTAAAAAAATGTATCATTTCATTTTTTATACATTTCAGGTTTCATACATTTATGCAGCTTTTTCACTTAGAGACATATCATACACATTTTTCCAAGGTGGTAAAGTGCTTCTGCTATAATGCAATGTATGCTTTCCTAAAACAAACAAACAAAAACAAAACAAAACGTCTTTCTTCAAAATTGAAAGCTAAAAATAATAAGGCTTGTGAGAAAAACAAATACTAGAGCACTAATAAAAGCAGTGAGTCATAATAAAAGTACTAGCTTGGTTTAAAAGTACATCATGTTTCCAAGAAATAAACTTCTGTATTTAGTCTAGTATTTTTTTTTACATTCAACAGCAATAACAAAAAAAAACAATGATAGCTGGATGGGAGACTATAAATCTGAGCAATGAAAAAAATGAGTAAAACTGTACAAAGATAAGAGTGAACCATGCAGTAAGCACTCCTAAGTCAGAGCATCTGGCCATACTAAGCCCGGTGGAAGAGCATGGAATGAATGGGCATCGTGTGCAGTATAGCATTTCTCTGTGTTGTGTCTAGCTGTCTTAATATACATTGTATTTAGCTGCTGTTGCTCCATTGCACAAATGTTAAAATCCAGGGAAAACATCATTATGAACCAACTTGACTCCTTATTATGATGATGATGTTTTTTACTTACCAGTCTCAGTGAGCTAATTTATATTACAGAAACACATGCTTTAGCAGAATAGACTGTATATTGGATCTACTCATTTTTAAAAATAGCTATAGAGTATTATATAAATGTAACAATATTCCCATGTTAATGTATAACTATGTTTTAAATTTCTTAAAAATATTGTAATGAGCAACTTATTTATATCTACAATGCCTTCTATGAGTGTTGTTCTAGTGGTAGTTCTTAGGTTCAACTACACAGTCAAACTAACGAGACCTAAACAGGCCACATTGAAAAAACATTCACTTAGAAGAATAGAAGAAAGAGCACACACCAGCATGGCCATCAGGCATTTCTCCTGTTTTCCACACAGCAGACTAGGGGCTGCATATGGACATAACTTCCAGAACCTTTGAGGGACATACCTGTAAGAGTTCACTGCACACAGGGAAGTCCCAAAGTGGCTTACCAATAGTTATTCATGTTCATTTACAGTAATTCTAAGTCTAGAGGCATACAGGAGGTCTTTTCCTCTATGTACTGTTGCCTGGTAACACAGTTGACATTCCACCTTTATTAGGTTTCCAGAGGGCCAGAGTTAGGAAGTTAACTCAAGGTAGATTTGTTTATTTAGAAAGACAAAAGATAAATCACTGCAAATGGGATTTCTCAAAGAATGCATATATATCTTAGATCTGACATCAAAAGCATGAACAGCCAAGGAAAATAGATAACATGAACGTCATCAGAATGAAAAACTTTTGTGCTTCACAAGACACTGTCAAGAAAAAGACACAGAATGAGAGAAAATATTCGCAGATCATCTATCTCATAGGGTCTAGTATACAGAATATATAAAGAACTCTTATAACTCAACAATAAAAAGACAACCCAATTTTAAAATGGTGAAGGATTTGAATATGAATGTATATATTAGAGGTGTTTGGCTCCTTAGATAGTTGCAACTTACATATATCATGACCCAAGCTAGCAAAGTTATAAAAAGAGTGAAATTAGTACTGGTGCTGATTGTTCTTACCTAGGTGAACCCAAAGGATCAGTGATAGAATATTGTGGGAGACACATTTATTTCTCCCATGTGAACTTTAGTTCACTTTAAGCAATTTTATGAGGTGGTTCCCTTTAGAAAGCTGTAGATTGACCAGAAATGAATTTTTTTTTCAGTAGAAATCTTGAGAGTAGTACTTTTATTAATTTCATTGACTTATGCCTTTCTCTGTGCTCAACTTTATGTTCTTGAACTTTATTTTTAAAAGATGATATTCAAGTACTTGAGGAGATCATCTAGTGTTCAACATAAAGATTTGAAGAATAATCAGAGCTGCCCAAAGATGGAATACACTATCTTAAGCAGCAGTGAAGTCCCTACCATTAGATGCCCTACTGATAGGAATTTTATGATATGAATTAAAACATTGAATAGATAGACCTTGATGATATTTTAGGTCCCTCAAGGCAAATCCTTTGATCCTGTGATTTTTTAATAATATTTGTTTTGCATATATATGTATTTCTGTGATCACAAAGTTGAGTAACCTGAAAGCATTTCTGTGTAATTATTACCTTGGCATCTGTCTCAACCACCCACTTTACTTTGCCTAAATAGTTTAATATTTTTACAGTATTTCTGTTTTCGTATATTTACCCTCATTTTCCTCACAGAGTTCTAAATGCTGGTTGTCTGTGACAGATCCTGGCCTACAGGATCCATATATGTTGTGGCTGCTAATTAGAGAAAAAATACACATGGACTACAGAAGTCCTGTGGGTAAAAAGGACAGCATGGCTACTCTCTGAAAGGGAGAGGGTGAGAGGGCCAGAGAGCTCATCCCTGCCTGGACAGGCTTTTATTGCTTCTCTGGGTACGTTACATGGAGGGTAGTCCTCATTTACTATGCACAGGTTCACTGCAGGGGACTACCTTTTACAGATAACAAAGGAAAGAATGTGGCTAACTACTTCAAAGAGAAGGATGTTGCAGACCTAGGGGAAAAGTGGTTGAACTGGTTATATGCCATACTTGGGAGGTTTAGCTCAGATTTTAGGAAGTTGCAGTAAGCCCTTTCTGCTTCAATTCAGGGTGAGGGAATTTTAGCAAAAACAAGTCTCATAGCCATCTAGGTACGATTTCCCCATGAGGAAACCTCTCCATGGGCATGGTCCTGTGTGCCACTCACTCCCCACTGGTTTTCCACATGAGCGCTGAGCTACGTTTCCACACCATGTGAAGCGGTTCCCTACAGTTGTCTGCCATTCAAGGAAAATTGTACACAATGTAGACATTTGAGGCAGAAAGTAGATTTGGCTTTAAGCTTCAGTCTTGTCATTTTAAAGACGGCTTATGTATTTCACTATTTTAAGTGCATATTTCATCAGCCTCTCACACTTGAGACATTTTAAATACACATCAAAGTAATCATTATAATTATTGGGAGTTGCAAAGAGTCCAGTATTCTAATTAAAATCTGTTGGTGATTTTCAGAATGAAGCAATGACTGGTTCTCACACCCAGAACCGAGTCCTCTCTCGAATCACTCTGGCATTAATGGAGGACACTGGGTAAGGTAGCTTTGAGAGTATTATATGACTTGCTTATTAAAATGAAATGAATATTAACATTATGATTAAGATGAATATTAGCTTAAAAAAAGTGCTGATATACCTAGCTGAGTGACTCAGTATTGTCCCATACACCAGAAGGTTGTAGGTCAAGTCACAAACCTTGGTTATGGGTTCTGATCCCCAGACAGGGTGTGTACAGGAGGCAACCATTGATGTTTCTTTCTCACATTGATGTTTCTCTCTCTCTTTCTCCCCGCCTTTCTTTCCTCTCTTCCTCTCTCCAAAATCAATAAAAAAATGTTCTCAGGTAAGGTTAAAAAAATACTAGCATTTTACAGAGAAGCAAAGTATTCTTTGAATTTTGCATAGTTAGCTATTCATTACCTATAACAGCTACATTCATTCAATTATCTGAGGCCCTGAGGTACAGTAATGAATGGAACAAAATTCCTGGTATTATGACATTTATTTTCCAATAAGTAGAACCAGGCTAATATGAAGAAAAGATTAATACAAATAATTTTAAAATTTTTAAATGAAATAGATGTATAGATTCCTGATTTTTAAAGCAGTAGAACCTTCTGATAAAGCGGTAGAATACTGTTTTTTAATAACTCCAGTGGGAGTCTTTTCCTTTGTTGGTTCCTGGGTCCTTTTGACAAGATTTGTTTTTTGAGAGCTTCCTTGTTTTCTGGTGTGGTAGGATGTACCAGGCTGATCAGCACATTTTTCCCTGGGCATCAGCCAGTCTTCCAAGGAGCACTGGTTTCTCTAATAGGAATAGTTTTTATAAACCACAGCCTAGGCATTGTTCATTACTACTAGATTATCATACTTTACAGTAGACCAAGTTAGGAAATTAATATATTCAAAAAGGAAAAAACAACTGCTGGATTTTTTAGTGCCATTATAACATTTTTTCATTTATCCCTGAATAAGCAATGGCCAGCAGAAGTGATCCTGCTGCTCTCCTTAATAACCAATTTACGTTAACCTATTAACCAGACCCTTTTATAAACAATGCTAGTTTCTTTAAGATACCAGTTGGGTCTAGAAGCACTGTAGAGTGTGTGAATCACTAATGAAAAATCATGGCACTAGCAAATTTTTAAATAGTTTTTCTTTTTTCTGAGGTAACACAACAGCAACATAGTTCACATGTTTCTAAATTTCTGGGAATATTTTTAAACTGTAGACATGAAAATGAATTTTTATAAATCCATATGACTTCAGTGTAACTTAACTGAGTTGCTTCTTCCAGTAAAAGACATTATCATTTATCCATCCAGAAACCCAGGAACCATCTTTGATGACATCCTCCCCAACTTCTCATATGTAATCAGTCATAAATCTTTTTTGATTTTTAACTCTCTAGTATCCTTAGAGTCTGTCTCCTTTTCTGGTCACCATTGCCTTTATCAAGGCCACCATTATGTTTTTCCTGGATACCTACTGTAGATTTTTAAAAATCTATCTCCCTACATCTTAAATGGTTCTTTCTACTGCCCATAGGCTTTCACACATTTTGTGCAAGTGTCCTTTAGAATTTTATTAGGCACAGTACTTTACACAGTAAGAAATACATCATGATCAAAGTACACTTACACATACATAGCATTAAGAGCAAATAAATTGATAAGAGTGTTAAGATGATTCCATGGAGAAAGAATAGTTTATTCAGCAAATTTTCCTGGGACAGCAGGATACCCACAAGCAAAAAAATTAATCCCTATGACACGTGACTTTTAAAAATTAACTCAGAATGGCTTAAAGACCAAAATATAAGACTTAAAACTATAAAAGTCTTAGAAGGAAGCATAGGTGTCATTCTTACTGTTGGATGAGGAAGTGATTTCTTAGATCTAACTCCAAAAGTATAAGCAACCAAGGAAAATAGATAACATGAAGTTAATCAAAATTAGTAACTTTTGTGCTTCAAAAGACATTATCAAGAAAGTGAAGATCAAATGAGGATGATCCAAGATGCTAGAGGAATAAGTGGAAGAAGCTATACTAAACTCCTCCCAGGACCAATTTGGAATTATAACTACGTTGTAAAGAAATCATCCTGAATAACCAACTGAATACTAGCTGGAGAGAAGCCTTATAACCAAGGACAGACAGAAGAAGCCACTTCACCACGACAAGACTGGTAGGGAGTGCTCGGAGGAGGCACGAGAGGACTGAATGGGCTCCCATAGGCCGCAACTGACGTTCCAGAGGGATTTCCAGTGGCTGGGAGTTCCCCGCTGAGAAGTGTGGAGACTAAACCCAAAGCTGGGCTTCCTAACCTACAGCACCAGAGCTGGAAAGGAACCCAAATAATCCAGCTGTGTAAAGTAACAGGGTTTCTGTCTGCCAAAGAGAGACAGTTGGGGATGCAAAGAATCTCTTAAAGGGCCAATGCATGAAATTTCATTTGCAGCCACTTACCCTGGGCTCTGGCATAGAGAGGGCAGAGTGGACTAGAGACACCTGAGGAGGGTCTGTGTTTAGTGGCTCTGGGGAGAGAACTGAATGAAAAGCTGTCAGGATCCCTGTGCTGAGTTGTTCAATATACTGGAGAGGGCATCTTTATAGGTAGGGCACTCCTCTCAAGTGGCATCAGCCTGAGGGAAGCAGTAGCTGCACCCACAGGAATTAATCTGCCCCAATCTGTGGAGCTTAAGATGACTATTGCTGATACTTTGATTAGTTTAACAACCAGTCCTTTTAACACCTGAATCACTGAGAAGCTTAGCACTGATTAGTTTAACGAACTAAGGTGGAAATTACAATGAACCAGCCAAAATGGGAAGACAAAGAAACAGACTCCTAATGAAAGAACAAAGGAATTCTCCTGAAGTAGATGAAATGGAGGTACAAAATTGATCAGATAGAGAGTTTACAATGATGATTCTAAAAACATGCAACAGCATGTAAAAAAAAATTGAAACCATAAAAAAGGACATATCAGAAATAAAGAATGCAATATCTGAAATAAATAATACATTAGAAGGAATAAATAGTAGGTTAGATGAAGCAGAGGATTGAATCAGTAGTTTGGAAGACAAGGTAGGAAAAAAAACCCTGGCAGAGTAGCAAAATGTAAAAAGAATTTAACAAAATAAGGAGAACTTAAGAAACATTTTGACATGAAGCATAACTATATCCACATAATGGGGTTACCAGAGTGAGAATAGAGCAAGCAAAGGATCAGGAACCTATCTGAAGAAATAATGACCAAAAACTTCCCTAATCTTGTGAAGGAAAAAGACAAGTCTAAGAAGTTCAGAGAGTTGCAAACAAGTTGGACCCAAAGAGGCCTACACCAAGACCCATCATAATTAAAATGATAAGACTTAAAGGGGAGAGAATTCTAAAAGCCACAAGAGAAAATCAGGTAGTGACCTACAAGGGAGCACCAATTAAAATGTCATCTGATTACTCAACAGAAACATTTCAGACCAGAAGGGAGTGGTGTGAAATATTCAAGGTGATGAAAAGCAAGGACCTATAACCAGTCTACTTTACCTAGCAAGGTTCTCACTTAAAATGGAAACAAATGAGCTTTCCAGATAAGGAAAATCTAAAGGAGTTTGTTAACACCAAACCAGTACTGCAACAAATGTTAAAGACCTTGCTTTAGGAACAAAATAAGAAAAAGAGAAGGGAAAAAAAGAGAGGAAAACAGTCTAATAATAAAATGACCCGATAGCCCTGGCTGTTATAGCTCAGTGGATTTAGCACGGGCCTACAAAGCAAGGGGTTGCTGGTTCCATTCCCAGTTATGGCATATGCCTGGGTTGCAGGCCAGGTCCCCAGCAGGGGACACATGAGAGGCAACCACACATTGATGTTTCTCTCCCACTCTTTCTCCTTCCCTTCTCCTATCTCTAAAAATAAATAAATAAAGTATTTTTTAGAAAGTTAAGCCTATATTTTTTAAAAAGTGACCCTACATACATATCTGTCAATAATCACCTTAAATGGAAATGGCCTAATTGCTCCAACAAAAGATATAGGGTACATGAATGGATAAGAAAACAAGACCCATACATGTGCTGCCTCCAAGAGACACATCTCAGATGAAAAGATGCACACAGACTAAAAGTAGAGAGATAAAAAGATATTTCATGCAAATGGAATGGGAAAAAAAGCTGGGGTAGCAGTACTTATAGCTGACAAAACAGACTTTAAAACCAAGGCTATACTAAGAGATAAAGAAGAACACTACATAATAATAAAGGAAACAATCCAACAAGAGGATATAACCCTAGTAAACATTTATGTATCCAACGTAGGAGCACCTAAATATGTAAAGCAAATCTTGATGAATATAAAGGGAAAGATCAATAGAATTGCAGTCATAGTTGGGGATTTTAACACTCCATTGACTTCAGTGGATAAATCTTCCAGGAATAAAATCAACAAGGAGACATCAGCCTTAAATGACACACTAGATCAAATGGATTTAATTGATATCTTTAGAGCATTTCACTCCAAAGGAGCAAAATATACATACTTACCAAGTGCACATGGAAGGATAGACCACATAGTAGGACACAAAACAAGTCTCAGTAAATTTAACAAGATTGAAATCATACCAAGCATCTTGTCTGACCACAATGTGGTGTATCTAGAAATCGATCACAAGAAGAACACTGAAAAACATGCTAGACAGTGAAGCTAAATAACATGGTATTAAACAGTGATTGGGTCAACAGTGAAATCAAGGAAGAAATCAAAAGATGCCTTGAAACAAATGAAAATGAGGACACAATCACTCAAGATCCATGGGACACTGGGAAGGCAATCCCAAGAGAGAAGTTCATAGCATTACAGGCCTATCTCAGAAAACCAGAAAAAGCTAAAAAAAAAAAAAAACCTAAATACTCTTAAAAAACTTGAAAAAGAACCACAAACCCCAAAGCGAGTAGAAGGAAGGAAACAATAAAGATCAGAGCAGAAATAAATGAAATATAGTAAAAAAATTGATACAAGAGATCAATGAATCC